TGATGAGATTGATGAGATTTTTAGAAAAAAAGATGAGTAATGTAAAGAACAATGGAATTTTTTTAAAATATATTTTTTTATTTTCCATTTTCATAACATATAATCACAATTGGAATATTTTTGAAGATGATGATGATAGAAAGGGATGGAGCAGTACAGTGAATAACGCTGATGCAAACTAGTTTGAGCTATTTTTTCTTATATTATGCCTTTACTTTCTTTACCTTACTAGTTCTTACTTTTCTTTTTCTGCACTGTGCATAACATCGCCTAACCGGTGGTTCTCAACCTGAGGTGTGTGTGATGACATCACACACACATCAGGTTGAGAACCATTGGTTAGACAATATTATGCACAGTGCAGAAAAAGAAAAGTAAGAACTAGTAAGGTAAAGAAAGTAAAGGCATAATATAAGAAAAAATAGCTCAAACTAGTTTGCACCAGCATTATTCACTGCACTATTCCATCCCTTTCTATCATCATCATCTTCAAAAAATTCCAATTGTGATTATATGTTATGAAAATGGAAAATAAAAAATATATATTTTAAAAAAATTCCATTGTTGTTTACATTACTCATCTTTTTTTCTAAAAATCTTATCAATCTCATCAAGTACTTTCTTTCATGCTGTCGATTCCTTTTTTATTCAGTCTTCCTTTATTTAACAATGCTTCATTCTTTACAGAATCTTTTCTAGTTTTACCCCAAGTTTAATAATCTTATTCTGCACAGATTAGGATCTCTGAACAGAGACTATTTTGGAAACCAACATACTCTTTCCCACATTCTGGCAGCTAGTAGTGTATTGACATGCACAGGAGGCAGTCTTTGTCAATATTAAAGTTGAAGCCTGACAATATTCGATGGGAGAAACTAATCTTGGCCAAATAAAGAGAATAATTGGTTGCCCATCGCTGCCACCGCCACCACCATTATGATGATCTTTAAAACATTGGGGTGTTATTGATTTTATCTATTCAATTTACACATGTTCCCCCCGCTTTTAATAACGTTAGCAGAATGGTATGCTGTTAAACTGCTAATGGATTGAATGGCTTCACTATTATGAAGTACAGAAAATTCTGCTGAAATCGTGAAAAGCTATTTAATATTTACTGGTATACTTTTTTTAAAATAAGTGAAAAGATAGCCTGAGGTAGGATCTATGCTGGAAATCCTTTTCAGTATAATGTGTAAAACTGCCCCAAATAGTCCTGGTGGCATGCAGTAGCTATTTTGCTTTAAGAGAAACACGCCAGTGTGTAGTGCTTTAAATGTCTGAGAAGAGAAAAAACCTGCATTTCATCATGTATAGCATTGCAGTTCCAAATTCCTGGCATTATATGTTCTTCTAATTACTTTGATTGGGTGCAACCATGCAAATCTGCACAGGAGTGAATGTAAGAATTAATTGAGTGGCAGCTCTCAGTTCAGCATTTCCATACATGTGTGTCGGAAACAATAACACTCTAATTTGTTGTATATACATGGATTATGAACCTCTGCAGAGTGCAGATTGGGATATTTTAAAGTTTACATAATTGTTTTAAGAAGAAACACACACCATACTGGGTAACTAGGAACATTTCCCTCTAAACTCTTCCAGTTCGTTTTCAAACATTGCAGCATCTACAATTTCATATTTGAACAGGATGTGCTTGTTCAATACGTTTATTTATTTCTTCCTCCCAATTTTGTTTAAAAGTATCTCAACTTTTCTACAAAACTCCTTAAAACTGTTAATGAAGGCTTCATACATTCTCTTGTGACTGGCAGTTGGCTAACTTTATGATCTTAAGGGCTCTGTTTCACAACTACACGTTGTAGGAATTAACATTTCCCCTTCACATGGACTTATTTGCTTGTGAGAGTTACACAGTAGACCTATGTAAAACACTACCAGGCATTTATTAAACAGGCTCATCACACTATTTGTTCTTGTCTGGGAGCAAGCTTTATGGATTGCAGGCTGTGCAGCTCCTCATCTTCCTCCAAGCCTCCTATCATGATGGCAGTAATGTTTGGTGGTGCCTTCAGCTCTTTGAGAGATCAATTGGATTATTTATGGTTTGACACTTAGCTAATATTTGCATTGGATAGCATGTCCATAAAGTGTTTAAAGGTTTTAAAAAGCTTGACTGTTCAATTCCACCAAGGCTAAGAAGTAAGAGAGGAGTAAACGGCTCAGTNGGCAGAGAACCGATTGCTAAATTAGTTGATTCCCCGCACTGGTCATGTCAATTCGAGGACTCCTATGCTAAGCCAAAACAAAGCTGTGGTTTAGTTGTGGTTTAGTGCGATGCATAAAACTAGCCCTCATCTAATGTGCATGAAAATAGTGAGAGGTGTTTCACTTCTCAGGATGATGAAGTAAAGTAGAAGAACTGAAATAGACACAGTATTATTTCAAGTTATTCACATATCCAAAGCTATACAATTTTCTGGCTCTTTTTCTTAAACATTTGAGATTGTTTTAGCTATTACCTCTTGGTAACTTAGACTAGTATTGTGCTGAAAACTCAAAGTAGATAGGAGCAGTATCACATGTTGTCTTATCTTGGCTGATAATGTGAAACTAAAGCATATGCATGCATACAATCCTCCAAGCAGTTATGATCTTTAATCATATTATTTCCTGGCACATGAAGGAGTGCTTTCATTTAGCTCTATTGCCTGGAGATGCCTAGAGTGAGAATTGGTAGGTGCAGTAGAAAAATACTATGGAACAGATAATTTGTCTATGTGACTTCAATAGTATCTGTGCTTAATATGTAATATTCTGTCCATATGCCAAATTTATTTAAAGTAACTTTATATATTGAGATTCCAAGGAAAATAATAGTATGTGTTGCTTGTAGGAGATTTATAAAAGGTGAAGGAGATTTATAAATGTAGCAAAATAAAATTCACAGTTAACATGATGAATGTATTGTTCCTTGCTACTTTGCATAGGTGTGAGTATGAGCTTAGCTAGTAAGTGCAGACAAGTAATTTTGAACATTTCCTGTATAGCAGAATTAATGGCTGGTAAAGTGAATCAGATGATTATATAAGGCAGCTGCAAGAAGACTGGAGTTCTCATTAATTGCAATTTCTGAATTGAATTTTATGCTATAGCTGGTCCTTCTAAATCAGGGGTGTCAAACTCGATTTTATTGAGGGCCACATTAGGGTTGTGTTTGATCTCAGGGGGCCAGGGGGTTCGTGGACAGGGTGGGCATGGCCAGCTCGATGTAACTAGTGCCAAGGACACCTGTGGTGGCTCGAGCACTCTGCCAGAAAAAATGGACTTCCAAATTCTGTTTCCAGCTGCAATGGCCTCCTGCAACCCTTTGCCAGCAAAAACAGCTTGCAATGGCTGTGCATGGCCCTCTCAAACTCCGTTTTCATTGGCAGAGGCATTGCGAGCTGGTCCTTTGCTACTTCCAGCAAAGGGCCAGATCTAAGCACCCCGTGGGCTGCATCCAGTCCGTGGCCCTGAGTTTGACATCCCTGTTCTAAACCATCTGATCACTTTTCCCTCTTATCATTTGTCCCTATAATGGAGGACTTAGATATAAAATAAGACACTTATTTATTTTGCTTCTTCCTTAATGCACTAAATCCATCAATACCTTTTTGGTCTTTCTGAACATCATATCTCCTTGGGATATGAGATTTAGATGGAGCGTGAAGACCATAGGGCTCATCTGGGATTCGGATTACTTTTAATCCTTAAGGTGATTTTTAGAATTTGTAGAGTGGGTTATTTTTTACATTTTTGAGAGTGTGAATTGATGGATCATTTCCAGTGAGCCCTCCTTACTCTGTTCCAAAAATATTAACTATTACAAGAGTGACTTTGGCACCCAAGAGTCAACATGATGAGAAGCTTAGCCAGAGCTGAAGTGAGATTCAGAAGGTAAATGAATCATATCAAGTATGACCATTGCAGGCCTGAAAATGATTTTTAATTAACCACTGATCCTCAGTGGTAGCAAGTTCATAAAAGCTGTACATCTCAAGGGAACCATATAAAATGTATAAGCAGCAATTTACAAAATCTAATAAGTCTTCTTGAAACTGCTGCTTTCATTCACACACACACCCAATCTCTTCTTATATATTTAGCTGTTCAAAATGATTTTTCAAGGCTTAAATCTATTAAAGTCACACAAACTCTAATACTTTTATCACTTGTGTATCATATAACTTCTTCCTTTTTTTTTCTTTTTAAATCAGAGAGAAAATCAATCAAGAAATGTAAAAACTACGAGTCTTATAGCATAAGCTTTTCTGGGCCAGACCCTACTCCATCAGATACATGAAGCAGTCACCTAATGGGTAGGTATATATATCCTAGTACAGAGAGAAGGAAATTGATATCTTTAGGGAGAAGAGTAGGGGGAGAGGCCCAATGGTCAAGCAATGAAAGAGGGGGTGGGAGGTGTGATCACAATGCCATGCAGAGCGCAACTGATTACTCAATGCAATCCAATTTTACACAAACTTATGAAGAAAAGGCATATTTTTTTAAAAAACCTGGAGTCTTACATAAAGACCTACTTTTCTGCACGATTGCATCGGGCAACATTTCCAGTCAATGGAATCCATTTATATTTTGCTTATGTATTTTTCAACAGAAAATAGAAGGATCTGTTAAAAAATTACTGCATAACATTGCTCACTCGCCTCTCAACCGGTTCATTAACGTTAGATTTTAATGCTGAGTGCAGTAAAAATGCTGCAAAAGTTTCCCCTTGAAAGAACTAACTGAAAGAACTAATAAAATGACTGCCATATTTAATGGTTTAGTAAGCATTTTAGTTCCTACTTCCAAGTGCCGTTCCCCTTTTGAAGATAGATTGATGGCATCTTCACCTGCACTCCCTCAGTAAATATGCCCTGAAAGCAACTCTACTTTCCAAGCAACACAGCAGAAAAAAAAGCGTGATGTAGTAACATCATCTTAAAGTGTCATGTGTCTCTACCATAGCACACTGAAAAGCCTGCTGTTGTCTGCAACCACATCCTACAATATAACTGTCTTTTCTCCATTTTTGGTCATAAACATATTTCTCCAGGAATTGCATCAGAAATTCTTAAAACTCAAATTTGAGAAGGTAAAGGTCAAAAATAGATTGTCAGGGTCTCTCTAAGTGCCCAAGGTATATCTTCTAAAGGACCATCCATACAGGATAATAGCATATTGCTTGCTGCCATTGATAGCTCTTCGGTGACACTATTTTGTGCATCCTGGAAGATGGTCATTGATCCTCCCAACCTTAAATGAATACTTGTCCTTCCTTAGAATCTATAGCCAAGTCTGAAAGAGGATATAACACTAATGGGCTACCTAAAGTAAGTCAAATTGTGATGCCACTTCTGATCCATCCTATCTCAATAAACAACATCAGCCATAATATTGAGAATCCATTCATCTGTCCATTATGCTCTTCTACAATAAACAAAACTAAGGTTTTCCTAATTCAGGAAGGTAAATTAAATTGGAAGCTGCTCAATTTGGTATTCCTGATGAAGCTATTGCTCTCTTACACGGTTTTGTAGTGTTCATGTGCTATGCCTATTTGTAATCTACTAGTGAGCCCACTAGTCACAGACGAGTCACACTCATTCTGATTTGTGTTCTGCATAATATTGTGGTGCATCTACTATCTTGTGCAGTGCTTGACCTTTTGGCTTTGCTTTGGACACCTCCTTCTCTTTGTACCTAGGGTATATGCATACACATTTACCTACTGAGGTGACTATGTATTTGGTTTAGGAAAACGTACGTCACAAAAAATTGATAGATACTAAGGTGCCAGTTAGCTTTTTGACTATTAAATCATATCGGGTTGAGGAACTGCAATCCTCATTTAGGAAAGCTAACCAAATTTGTCACACAATTATAGAAATGGCTAATATACTATCTAGTTTCATTCGTTTAATTTAATCCCAAATGATAGTATCTAGGAAACTGATTGTTTCACTGGATGAAGTGCTGGCTTTTAATCTGTTCTCATAAAAGATGCCATTTTGGTTTACCTTCAATGTTCCTGAAGACATAGAGTTGGATCCTGCCTAAGTAAGTTACCTGAGATCAATATAAGCTACTTGAGATCAGTACAAAGTTAATTGAGTACCATTGATTTATCTGTTCTAAAGGGTCTGTCTCAAAAAAGAAAAAAAAGATTTGCAATCCTATTATTTATCCTTTAGGTTGGATGAATTTCTCTAGTTTACATTTTGGCTATGACACTAGTTGAGGAATAACAATCTGGAAGATACAAAGCTAGAGTAGACAAAATTAGTCTATGTCATGCACTATTGGGGGAAAAGATCTACTTATACTGCAAATTCAATCTTTCTTTTCATAGGTTTTTAGATTAAATGGCTCTATTTCTTGATTTATCATGGGTTTTTTTTTAATGCCACCTATCTCTCCTACAAAGGGACCTTGGGTGGCTTACAGGTTATTTTTATATTCTTTAGGCTAAAATGATCATTTACATTCTGTACTTTTTAACAGGCATGAATCGGCATCCTCCAGGTCCTGATATTTCCACCTTTTATCCCTTATCGCCTGGCAGTGTTGGGCAGATAACCCCACCACTTGGCTGGTAAGAGCTTCCTGCTACTTCCGAGTCACACTCATGCATTATGTGTTATGTACATTCAATGTGTTATGTATATCCAATAGGGACGCAGTGGCTCAATGGCTAAGACACTGAGCTGGTCGATCAGAAAAGTCGGCAGTCTGGCGGTTCTAATCCCTAGCACCGCATAATGGAGTGAGCTCCCGTTACTTGTGCCAGCTTCTGCCAACTTAGCAGTTTGAAACCATGTAAAAATACAAGTAGAAAAATAGGGACCACCTTTGGGAGGAAGGTATCAGCATTCCGTGCATTTAGTCATGCCGGCCACATGACCACCGAGGCGTCTACTGACAGCGCAGGCTCTTCAGCTTTGAAACAGAGATGAGCACCACTTCCTAGAGTCGTAAACGACTAGCACATACTGTATGTGCAAGGGGAACCTTTACCTTTTTGCATGCAAGTTTATTGACTTGACTCATTTTAAAACAATTATAAGGTTTCCATTATTAAATAACAAAATCTAATTATTTATAAAATGAATGGAAATGTAGTTGGCTTTGCAGAGCAACCGATTGAGAGTAAACTGGACTCTAGAAACGGTATGGTGTTCCTTAATGAAATCCACTGCACAATTCACAAACTCTATGACTTGAATAGTTGGGAGCCCAATAATATGTGTTAGGTAAGATAACTTATTTGTAAAATTCATAAGTACCACTGAATACATTCAGAGTGCCACATTACCACTAAATAACCATGATTCATATGTTCATTTTGCACTAATTTATCTTCAATGTAACAAGTGTTTCAAATTTGTAAAATTCTTCAAGGCAATCTCTGCTTTATGAAGGAGGAATGCCCAATTTAATTCAATATATTAAATGTGTTCTTTGTTTAGTCAAAGCTGAAAAATAGCAATTGAGTGAATTGAATTAACCTTTCATGAAATTTCTTCCAAGTAGTCAATCAGGTGCAGTATTGCTTAGCAAAAATGTATCTGACATAAACAAATGGGGTAGGGATGGGGATTGTAGTAATCCAAATTTTTGTAATTTTTACATAATAATATTAAGGATGCTAATGAGCTATCTCTATGCCTTTTTTGAGAATTTATTTTGGGAGTGATTCATCATTGTGGCACAGCTGGTACATTATGGCTCCTTTTACACTAAGGAAGGATTTTTTGGAATGTGTGAATAGATTCGGTCCCAACTTTTAAATTTTAACAATTGTCTGTGTCTTTGTACATACATTTTTTCAAAGATGAATCTGAATTAAAAATACTGGTAATATGAATAGTGTACAGCAAATAATTCTCTTACGTTTCTGCTTATTGCTGTACTGTATGATTGATATTTGAATTGTGTGTGCATAATTGTGTACATGTGCAATGGTCTAACCTACCGTGTATGCATAGAAGTTGATTTAAGCGTGAAGAGTGCCATGGTGAGAATAAGAAAGGGCCAGCAGCTTTAAAATGCCAGTTTCTTAAATCTGTCAATCAATAGCTCTGCTTGAATAGAATTGACTGTACTCTTTCAAGGAAAATTCAATTATTCTCTCTGAAGTTGATGTACAAGTGTATTAACTTTTATTCAGAAGTTGCATGAATTCACGATGGAAAAAAGACAATGTAAACTAAACATAAAAGATTCAAAATATTTGAAACATTCAGATTGAGCTATTCATGTATCTATTCAGAAGGACAGAAGTTTATATTAGAAGTTTCTTTGTATTTTAAACTCCCTTTCAAGGTTTTTGTTTTGCTTTCAAACTGTATGAACTTGGGCTGTGTACACCCATTGGATCTGATTTCAAGAAGATGCTTCAGGCAATTTGTTGTATACAAGCAACACTCTCCAATGCTTCACAATGTGGGGAAAAACACAGTTGCTTAAAATATAACATACAGTTAATGCTTTTGTTAGAGTCCAAATATCCTAGGATTTTTTTTTTTTTTTAGAAT